CTTTATTAATTTAAACAGTGAGATTAAGTCAAAGTCACATAACTGACAATTTGCACAAACGAATTATCAGAGCGAATTTTGATATATTATATTATACTACTATTGTTATACAATTTATTAACATACTCTTTTTTAGGTTCATTTAGGTTCTTTTGATAACGATAGCAGAAAATAGCTATCGAAACGTCAAGGTAATTTTTCAAATTAATTTCTCTACTAATTGGAATTTTCTCTTACAGCTTGAGCCTAAGTGTGTCGCAGGATACCCTCTATGTGATAGTTCTTGATTACTTTTTGATAAATAATTCGTTCTTATTGCGAAATAGGAGCACTACTTATCAATCTGTAATAAAAGACGTGAGGAAATTCTGCCTTTTTTAAAGACAAAAATTTTTGAGGCGAAATACCCAAAAAGAAGTTTGTAAAAAATATCATCAAATACTTTTCACAAGTTTTCGATCGTGGTCCCATTCTTCCTAATTAATAATTATTATTTGTGAGCATCATTCCAAGAAAGCGCGTTTTAATGTCTGCTTTATTACATCGGGATTAGTTGGAGAAACTTGGTGCCGATGAACAAACCACCAATGAAAAGGTCACACGTAAAGTCAGGTGATCTGGCTGGCCAATTAACGCCAAAATTTAACTTGATTATTATTAAAGTGCGATCGAGCTGCGCCATGTTGATTCTGAATAATCAGGCGATTATTCAGAGTAGATTTGTTTAAGATTCCTTCGAAAAAATCGAACCATTTCGTTCCGAGACTCCAACCCATGCATTCCTTGACCAAATTTCATCTCGATGAAAAACCAGCTCTAAAAGTTTCGACGGCATATTCAAAAGTAGCTACCTCTAAATGAAATGTTTTATGAAAAAATACCATAAATTTAATACAAAAAGGTCGTGTGACAAAACATTGATTCTGACCATCAGAACTTTATTCTGAGCCTCCCTGTGAACTTCAACGTAGGATTTAAGAAAATTCTTCAATCGCTTTCGACTTAACAAGAAAAAGTGCCGATTCGCAGACTCACGACTTATACCAAATGATAAATAAATTTTCATTGCTTAGACGTTTTGAATTCATTCATATCTTCCCCATCTAGTCTTTATGAAAACTACACATTGTAGAAGACAAAGAATGAACCGACCTCCTATGAGCCGTTGTATTATCTAATGCGGACAAAAGGCTAAAAAACTGGAATTGAAGCAAGGACAAATACAAATATTTTTGTGCAAACTACGCGAATTTCACTTGTTGCCTAACAATGTGCAGAACGCACAAACCAGCAGCAGTTTTCACAAACATTTTCATATGTATATGTTGAAGATTTTAAAGTATTTCACTCAACAGCACAGCAATCCATATAATAAGTATACAAAATAGAATGAGCCGCGATCAATACTTACCAGTCTCCCTAAAAATGGCTTCCAAACTAATAAAAAACATGCATTTAAACGCCTGCTAAGTAGCAAATTTTTGTTATCCAAAAACACTGCCAGTATTAAGATCCGTTTATCTTTTCGGATGCGACCCACAAAACTCACATGCAACGAGGGGTAAAATGAAACTTGTGCTGGGGTTGCGACGACGCAGATGCGCGATCGTTATTGTCGTTAAGGAAACGGCTGAACAACCCTCAAATAAAATATTAAATGTAAATTTATCACATCTTTCAGCTGGGTTTTTTCCCTGTAGAATTGAATTGTAAACTATCCGCCACTCTATAGGTAGGGTTTCCTCAGAAGGGTTTTTAGGTCTTGGGGCTCGAAAGCGAAGGAAACTAAACCGCAGTAAAATTTGGAAAAAATTGTTTTCTATTCATTTATTTTTGTTTCGTTCTTATTTGTTATTTGTTCAGCGGCTTTTTAACTTATACCCAAAGAAGTGAGTTTGTTTTGTTGTTAAAGTAAGTTGTGCGTTTTTTTAAATTGTGTTCTTTAATAGATAAGATGGGTACTGGTTAAGTTTTAAAGCAATTTTTATCAATTTTAACATTTAAATGTGGATCCTGCACTGGAATTAATTGATTAAAAAACTAAGTTTTACTACAAAGCAATAAATCTCAGTTATTTTATTGTGTCTTGTTAGGTTCCGCCCCTTAAAAAAGTAATCAAAAGGTTTTTTGACATAAGAAATCGCGCTCCCGAACGAAAACTTTAAACAAAACCCATAATTCGGATAGCAAAAATTGCAATTTTTACTATTTTTTCGATGACTGAAATAGCTCCAATGGTCAACGATTTTTATCGTAAAAAAATGAGAATTTCGACTCCATTGATTGAAAACCCCCTAGATGCTTCAGATCAGAAATAGCCGAATATTTTGAAGCATTTTTGTTCTTTGTGCGGTCACGATTTCCAATCCGTTCGCCGAAATATTTCTTAATGTATCCTCAAACACTCTAAATAGGCACATTGAGGAGCTGCGGGTAAATGTAAATTAAATTTTAGCATTAGCGTTGCTTTCTGGTAAAAAATCAAAGAAATCCTGGATGATCAGACATCGAATCTGATGCTGTGGTCGAGCAAGAAACAGACAATTACTTAATCAGCAGTGAAAATGTGAAGATATTCGTCATACTTCTTACCCAAAAAGTGAAAAGAAAGCGAATCAAGTGAACGAATGTTAAACCAGGGGTGGATCCAGCTTTAAATTCAGGGGGAGGTTAAGTAGAAAAAATATAGTCTTCTGTTGTCTATAAAAATTATCGTCGTTTTGTGCAAGGGTGGCGTAAGATTATTGCAAAATTTCATGTTTTGGTGGTGGTTTCACGTGGTTTTTTTGAGTTGCAAAATCCACTTGAACATGACGCTGCTTTTTTCGAAGTTTCTCAAGAACCATTCGAGCCACAGAATTCGTTTTGTCATCGTT